TTCTTGAAACTTGGTCAAAGCCATTTTCCCATTTCATAATGACCTTTTCAAGATTACAGTAGATTTTTTAAAAAATATTTATTTGGCTGTGTCAGGTCTCAGCTGCAGCACGCAGGATCTTCGATCACCCTTGTAGAGTGTGAACTCTTTAAGTCATGGTATGTAGGACCTAGTTCCCTAATCATGGATCGAACCTGGGCCAGCCGCATTGGGAACCTGCAGTCTTAGCCACTGGACCATCAGGGAAGTCCCTCAAGATTATAGTAGAATTTAATATGAACAATTATTAGCTTCAATTCCCAGCAGCAGCATAATACATCCTTCCATCATTGGCATTAGCCTGGCCATGTGACTTCTTTTCAACACTGAAAGGCAGTCACTTTCAACCAGAACTTTAAAAGGAAGATTGTAGGTTACCATGTCTAGTTTCCCTCTGCCTGAGACAGAGTGCCACATAGAAGCTGTTCCAATAGCATGAATGACAGAGTGAAGGAAAAAAGGAAGCAGAGTCAGAGTTGACTTGACATGGACACAGAGTATTTATTACTATCAGTGCCTAAAATTTGGGGTTGATTTTACTGCAGCCTATCCTGACTGATACATAGGTGCAGAAAGGAAACTGATGCATAAAATTAAAGTGTCTGCTTCATCATGCATCACTGGAGGAACAGCTCCTCTTTGGTCCAAAGATTGCCTTAATAGAAGTGAGCTGATCACTGAGTCAACTTCCCATATACCGAGAAGAGTCTTTTGTTAAGATTTGCAAAGGTAAAGAAGATAGAATAAGTCCCAAGGTGTTTTTGACTTGACCTTTTCCTAAAAGCTCCGATTATTAGAATTCAAGTCATTATGTAAATTCAAATCATTGAAGAACTAGGTTCTTCTACCAGAAAAAGTCATTCAAAGGATTTCTCAGCTTTCTTTCTTTTCCAGTGGTAATAAAAACTTTTTCCTTGACCTATTTATTTCATATAGTTGCCAGAAGACTTATATGAGAAGAGTACTTTGAAGTAGAAGAAAGCTTCATACAAATGCAAGGTGCTAAAAAAAAAAAAAATTATCTTTTATTTATGATGAAATTAACCCCCATAGGATACTTCATTTTCTAAAATATATTCATTCAAGGAATATTGGAGCATTTAATAAAATAAATTCAAACTATTAGCATTCAAATTTGTTAATTGAATAGATTCATCCTGCCCTTACCTAAAACAGAGCAGCGTTTCCTCCTTTACAACTAAAAAAAGTCACAGAGTCAAAAACCCAACAAATTACCTAATGCCTTTGCTGGCAGTAACTTGGTTGAAGTCCTCTATTGTCTCACATGGAACCCTGGCCTTGCCTAAAATGAAGCTCTGGTATTATGTGTAGATTTTATAACCCTAGAAAGTGACTTCCCATTAAAATAAATCTGTGACAGAAATCATATCACAGAAAATAGGAAGAAAGAAAATTCTACCTTGTATGATGTGTTATCCTATGAATGAGACTGCAGTTTAAATTAAGACTACTTTAGTGGCTTTGAAAATACTTTTTGTTTTTTAACTTTGAAGTGACCTGTTAAATTGATCTGTGAAGGTCATAGATGCCCCTGGAAAGTGGTGCTTAAATTCTTTTCAGTAGCAGAAAGTCCTGGTTGAATTAGTGCAGACCCCATGGAGACTTCTGAAGCTGTTGATAAATCATGTTTAAGAGCTTTTCAGCCCAAAGCTCAGTTGTAAACTCAGGCAAAGCCATGAACAAATTTGCAGGTGGCTGTGCCCCATAACTATCCCCTCTAATCCAAAGTGATCCCCTCTGAGCCACTTTGGCATCAAGCACCCCATTCATCAAATTAGGCTGAGTCATGCATATCTTCACTTATATTCAGCTCCTTGGTGCAGTCAAATCTCGACCAGGTAAAGAGCAGGCATAGTGAATAACTCATTCATCAGTTAAAAGAAAGAATGTAAATCTGTGGATCGAAAACAACCATGTAGGGCTTCAGTGTGAGCTCAATCTTGTCAGCGCTAGAGAAGGGCACCACCAATAGTCTCTCATTTTATTTGGATATCTTGCTCCTGAAATATATACAGTAGTGTTACCAGTCTGAGGAAGCAACGAGACTTAAGAAAATATTTAAGTCATCTCTAGGTTTTTTTTTCTTATAATAAGCCCTTTAACGTTCCACAATATATATTTTCCTTCTCCAAGTGCTGAGGAAATAGGAAATAGATAAGAACCTTGTGTCAACAAAGAGTATAACTTTAGTACATTCAGTTATCCCATCAGATTCCAGTCCCAATTCTAATTTAGGGCACAAGGCAGTAAGATAAAATGGAGGTCGACTCCCTGTCACAAATTTAGCTGAGTTGGTCTTTGAGTCTTCTGGAGGAGATGTTCAGACTTTAAGCTTACAGAAGGCAATGATAATGCCTTTACATTTTGGGGCTTAATATAGGGTGTCCAAACTGAATTCAGTCCCTGGGCTCCTTCCCTTATGTCACATATTATGATATTATAAAAATGCAATATATTCAAGTAATGGAATATTATGAAGCCTTAATAATGACATCAGTTTTTACTTATATGGGGAAATGTTCATGATACATAGCTAAGAGGAAAGCAGGATGTAAAACTGCATTTACATCCTGAACATAAATGTAAAATATGAACATATGCAGTGTATGTGCATGAGAAAAATACTAGACAGAAGTAAATAATTAAAGTGTTAACAAAGGCTCACTATATGGATGGAATATGAACAGTCCCTGAGACACCCTAGGGAAAATAATCTGCTAGGAAAAAAAGAGAAAAGTTTGTCCTAATTTTTTCCTATGCCTCATTTTTGAGTTTGGGACATGAAGTCAATTTCAGAACTGAGAAAAAAGAACAGGAGACCTGAATCAAACATCTTCCATTTGCTCCAATAAATCAGCCATAGATCTGCCTACACTGCTTTGTATCTGAGGTTTTTTGTTTTTTTTTTTTAGGGTAAAAAGCACCTGGAAGTGACTAATTTTTTAGTTTTTTCAGTGTTCTCTGTGTGGTATATTTTAATCAGCAGTACAATTTAGCAGTTGCATTAATTAATTAGCACATTAATCAGGAGAGCATTTTAGCAGCTAATCTCTAACAAACTAGCAGTTTGTGATAAAATCTTAACAGTAGGAGAACATGCAGCATAGTAAATTATTTTTCAATGTTATCATCAGTGTGGGGCTAGCAAAGGCTGAAATTATGTAACCAAATTGAAACCTTTCTTAAAATATACCTGTGCAGGGCACATTTGAGAAATTGTACGCTTCATGGGGAAAGGTTTAACAATTACTACTTTCTTTGCAAAGGAGCAGTTCTGAAGAAAACTGTCAGGCACTCCAGGAAACAAACTCTGTAAGTGTTCTTAAAATACTCCTTGTGTAATTTCATAAGAATTCAAGTTTCCTCTTCTATTAGCAGGATCATTCATGTAACAACGAGAAGTTCCAAGATATTATTTTATTACATATGTTAGAGCGATTAAAACAAAGGAAATATTTGTCTTAGTGATGAAAATGTTACAAGTCTGATTTTAAGCTCTATAAAACCTTTACAATGAAACTTATACTTGGAAAGGAAAGAGAAAATATATTTCTTCCAATATAATGTTTAGGGATAAATGCATGTAGTACCACAGCCAAATGTAATATAATTTTTGATGAAATATAAGTTGGAAGACTTTTGCGCATGAAAACATCGCTCCTTTTTGCTTCATTATATCTGAAATGCAGTGACATGTGCTTTTATTGAATCCATGCATATTGAATTCCACATGTTCTAAAATTTAAAAATGTGCCTGAAAAATCCCATAGGCTGATATTAAAACTTCCTTTCATTTACAAAGCCTGGGGATATTGAATTCTCATACACAGCAATGTATTAGTCTGAACTGTTAAGCAGTTCTTTATCCTCACAGCATTTCCCTGGGAGAAATCAGTGTTCTTTCATGGCTCCACATCACTTTTTCAACCTCAGAAAGGAGAGGGTCAGGGTAACCAAGGGAGCATGTGCTGGTTAAGCATTTCCTTATATTTCAAACTTGTTATATTGATTTTTTTCATCTGGTTCATAGAAATTGCACTCTATTTAAATCATATAATACAAGTTGGAAGAATTTTAATTTCCACTCTAACTTTTGTCTCCGTTTATAAATCACATCTGTATCATCCAATCTTATGTCCTCTCTTTTCTAAATTTTCAACTCTACACAACCTACTTGATCAGCAATTCTACTCCAAACCCAAAGAAATCCCAAAACTACTGAGAAGGGCAAATGAAACAGATTCTTTCTCTACAAGAAAATATATAAATTGCAGCATTTAGTAAGGATGTATTCAAATGTGATGTTAGTGGGTTATTTTCTTATAAATGCTGATAAATAAAAGGTCTGCCATTGCAATTAACTACCCAAGCAACTCCACCAACTATTCCTTTGAGACAATGTCACGTATTGAAGATTTTTATGTGCCTAGGTTGGAATCTATGCATCCCTTTTGTCACAACTAGAATCACTGTAATTATGTTGTGAGTGCATTAGTTGACTTCATTTGTAAGCACAGCATTTGTTATTGATAAATGTCTTATGGATGAAAAGCCTCATTTAACTATGAGTCACCTCTATTGATATAATCCTTCTTACTTTATGAACTTTTATAATTAACACAAAGCTTGCCTGGGTTCATGTTTTTTCTTGCTGACTAAATTACCTAGTCCTCTCCCCATTCCCAGTCAGCTTGGATATATAGGCATGCACACATATACATGCAGTGACACAAACATGCACACACACAATCCTTCTGATACAGTACCCATTCAAAGGAGCCCTGGTGAAATATTGATTAGTGTTGCTCTGTATTAAAGCATTGATTACTGAAGCATACTCACTTGCTCTCTCTCTCATGGAAGATTTCTATCCTAAAACCTGGAACAGGTGTAAACTAGGTATCCTTCGCTCATTGGCTCAATGAACATCTAAGATGTGATCAATTCATTTCTTCAATAAATATTTATTGAAAGCCACAACATGCTTGGATTTTGCTCTTCAGGTCCTCAAGATTTGTTATCAGGGTGAATACAATACTCCTATGACAAACCTAGACAGAGTATTAAAAACAGAGACATAATTTTATGACAAAGGTCAATATAGTCAAAGCTATGATTTTTCCAGTAGTCATGTACGAATGTGAGTTAGGCCATAAAGAAGGCTGAGCACTGAAGAATTGATACTTTTGAACTATGGTGTTAGAGAAGACTCTTGAGAGTCCCTTGGACTGCAAGGAGATCAAAACAGTCAATCCTGAAGGAAATCAACACTGAATATTCATTGGAAGGACTGATGCTAACGCTGAAGCTCCAATACTGTGGTCACCTGATGTGAAGAGCCAACTTATTGGAAAAGACTCTGATGCTGGGAAAGATTGAGGGCTGGAGGAGAAGTGGGTGACAGGGGATGAGATGGTTGGATGGCATCACTGACTCAATGGACATGAGTTTGAGCAAACTCAAGGAGATAGTGAAGGACAGGGAAGCCTGGCATTCTGCAGTCCATGGGGTCACAAAGAGTTGAATACAACCTAGTGACTGAACAACAAGAATACTCCTAATCTGCTTTGCTGACTTTGGTAAACCCTTTTACCAACAAACTATCATCTTTTACACTGTTGCTACAGGGATCTTCATTAAATATAAATCTGATTGCATTACTCCTCTACATTAAATTATTAAATGGTTTTTATCACCTTTAGGAGAAAAGTTAAATCCTGCAGGATAGCCTACCATTTCTTTCTTGATTTGGTGATTGCCCACCTCTGCACTATCATCTTGTGATGGCTAATTTTATGAGTCAACCTCATTGGGCTAAAGGATGCTCAGATAGCTGGTACAACATTATTTCTGGCAGTGTTTGAGACCATCTGTGGAAAATATTAGCATTTAAATTAGTAGACTGAACTAGTTTGCATTCCCACCAACAGTGTAAGAGGGTTCCCTTTTCTCCACATCCTCTCCAGCACTTATTGCTTGTAGACTTTTGGATAGCAGTCATCCTGACTGGCATGTAATGGTATCTCATTGTGGTTTTTATTTGCATTTCTCTGATAATGAGTGATGTTGAGCTTCTTTTCATATGTTTGTTAGCCATCTGTATGTCAGCCGCTATGGAGAACAGTGTGGAGATTTCTTAAAAAGCTGGAAATAGAACTGCCATATGACCCAGCAAAATACACCATGGAATATTACTCAGCCATTAAAAAGAATTCATTTGAATCAGTTCTAATGAGATGGATGAAACTGGAGCCCATTATACAGAGTGAAGTAAGCCTGAAAGATAAAGACCATTACAGTATACTAACACATATATATGGAATTTAGAAAGATGGTAACGATAACCCTATATGCAAAACAGAAAAAGAGACACAGATGTACAGAACAGACTTTTGGACTCTGTGGGAGAAGGCGAAGGTGGGATGTTTCTAGAGAACAGCATCGAAACATGTATATTATCTAGGGTGAAACAGATCACCAGCCCAGGTTGGATGCATGAGACAAGTGCTCGGGGCTGGAACACCGGGAAGACCCAGAGGGATGGGGTAGAGAGGGAGGTGGGAGGGGGGATCGGGATGGGGAATACATGTAAAACCATGGCTGATTCATGTCACTGTATGACAAAACCCACTACAATATTGTAAAGTAATTAGCCTCCAACTAATAAAAATAAATGAAAAAATAAATAAATAAATTAGTAGACTGAGTAAAGAAGATCATACTCACCAATGCAGATCAGCATCATCCAATTTGTGGAGGGCCTGAAGAGAGCCAAAAGGATGAGGAAGGATGAATTTTCTGTGTTTGAGCTGGGACATTCATCTTTTCTACACTTAGACATCACATTCTTTGTCTTGGCTTTCAGACTCAGACTAGAACTCACACTATTGGCCCCTCAGTTCTCAGGATTTTGAACTCAGACTAATTATGCCACTGACTTTCCTAGTTCTCCAACTTACAGATAGTAGACTGTGGAACTTCTCAGTCTCCATAACTACATGAGCCAATTCCTAAAATCACAATCTCTCTCTCCCTCTCCCTATATATAGACAGGGAGAGAGAGAGAGAATCACACACTGTGGCTGTAATTTTCATAGTTTGAGGTGTGACAGGAAAACTAACTTGAATTTTTTTTTCCTTCTTCACAATTTTATTGATAGATTTGTTCTTTTCAGAGATCTTAGCAACCTCAGAATACATTTTTTTTTCCTTTTCTTTTAAGAACTTTTACCTTTTCACTTAAAGGAAGTACTTTATGTCTTCTCTTTGGCATATATAAATTGTTAGCATCACTACTCTTGCACTTCAGGGCTATTTTGAAGTAAAATAAGGGTCAGCTGAACACAAGCACTGTGATACTACAACAGCCAATATGATAACTGAGATGCTACTAAGAAACTAATAAGCAAGATACTCTGGACAAAGGAATGGTTCACATCTGGGGTGGGACAGAGCAAGACAATGCAAGATTCCAACACACTACTCAGATGAGTGCACAGTTTAACCTTTATAAATTATTTATCTCTGGATTTATCCATTTAATATTTTGGGGCCACAGTTGACCTCAGGTACCTGAAACCATGGGAAACAAAACCATGGATAAGAGGGGACTACTATATATATTGTTGTTCAGATGCTCAGTTGTCTCCAAGTCTTTCAGACCCTATGGACTGCGGCATGGCAGGCTTCCCTGTCCTTCACTATCTCCTGGAGTTTGCTCAAACTCATGTCCATTGGGTCGATGATGCCATCCAACCAACTATCCTCTGTCACCCCCTTCTTCTCCTGCCTTCTACCTTTCCCTGCATCAGGGTCTTTTCCAATAAGTCGGTTCTTCTCATCAGGTGGCCAAAGTATTGGAGCTTCAACTTCAGCATCAGTCCTCACAATGAATGCTTAGGGTTGATTTCCTCTAGTATTGTGTATATTCCTTTAGTATTGTATACACACACACACGCACACACACACACACATACACACAACACACACACTTATCTATCTATCCAAAACCATTTAGCACGAAACACATATTCTCAAGGACATTTTAGATAACATCAAATTTCAAGGATATTTTCACATGGAAAAAATGTCTTATATGTGTTTTGCACTGGATCAGATTTCAAGGATCTTTTGGCATGGACCAAATGTTTTATGGATTTTTTGGACAGGATCAAATATCAGTGACCTTTTGGACAGAACCAAATATCTTTCAAGCATAGCGTTTGATTCTATCCACAAATTCAGGCATTCAGTGGGGGTCTTAGAACATATCCCTTGCAAATAATAGTGTTAGTTGAAAAAAAGGATAATTTATTCAACTAAGCAAAGAAAAAGACTTTGGGCTCCAGAATGAAAGCAATGGTGCTAGAAAGAAGTAGATGTGTTTTTAAAACATGACTTTTAAAGCCTCAATGTGATGCTAGGACTTTTATAAAACCTGGACTTTTGCAAAGCTATGAAATCCATGAGTAGAATTAGCAGTAGAATAAAAGCCTCAGGCTGTTATGGATTTGTTTTATAGCTAAAAGTAAGGCAAATCACCTACTTCTCCACTCATTAAGGGATGACACACTTTCCCCATGCCCAAGCAATTGCAATATGGGAACACTGGAATTTACAGCACCTTAGTGGTCAAATCTTTTAGAATAAGCCATGAAATTCACGAGATCCTAGCACAAAAAGTCTCATCTAAAGAAAGAGCAGTTCTATAATGTAGGCAGAATACCCACGACTCCAATTTTAGTCAAGGAAATTGAAGCCCAGTATCATTTAATGCCTTGCCCAACGTTGCACTGCTAAGTAACAGATGAAAGACTCACACTTAATTTCTGAATCTAAATCCATCATGCTCTTTCTCTATGTTATGAATAAGACCAACATCTCAGAATTCACAAAAATAACCAGTAGTCATAACTGCTTCTGGATATGTATCTATGTCTGTCTGGGATGGGGCAGGAAGCAGTAGGGAGGTGGTAAACAATGAATAAATATCATTCTGACATTGAAGCGCCATTATTATTTTCATATATTAAGGTGAACTACTTTTAGTCATGATTTTCATATATTACATTTACAGGAATAGCTATAGTTATATCTTTTAGCCAGAAGTAAAGTGTCAAATTAAAGAAGGAAATGGCAACCCACTCCAGTATTCTTGCCTGGAAAATCCCTTGGACAGAGAAGCCTGGCAGGCTACAGTCCATGGTGTTGCCAAGGGTCGGACACTACTTAGCGACTGAACCAAAGTGTCAAATGAGAAAAAGCCCCTGGAGGAGGCCTAGAGAATCCTATGGACAGAGGAGCCTGTAAGCTGCAGTCCAGTGGGTCAGAAAGAGTCAGATACAACTGAAGTAACAGCACACAAAGTGTCAAAAAAGCTAAGGCTATGGCTCTTACATCTTCTGAAATTAACCTTTTCTGAAATTTGAAACTTACTCATTGGGCCAGAAGCAGAAATGATGTAGACTTTACACTAAGTAACTACACTGATTAGCTAATGAACCAAAGTTACACCCAAAAGTAAATGTTAGTTTTAAATGGTTCCCTGAATGTCCAATCACCAAATACTTGGTAGAGAAAATCTGTAAGATAAACGGATAACAGGAAAACACAAAGAAGTCCAGAAACTCAGGAGGAAAGTAAGAGGTACTATAAAATGACAAAAAGCACAAAGATAAAAATTCTCCCAACTCAGAAAGAAAGGGGATCCAATTATTTACATAGAACCCATGCTAGGAATTAGAGTGAAATGGTAGACAAGAAAATGTCACCTTGAACAATTATACTCATTGACTTCTTTGAAGACATAGGCTAGCTTCCTGAAAAAAGAGAAACAGGAAATCTGGCTTTATTGCTTTCATGTTAGTGCAAGAGGAAGTCAAAAGAAATATTCTCAGGAAGACCTGAAATTACTTGCAAACTTAGTTGACTGACAGGAGAAATTGTTATTTTGATATACAGATATTGTAGGTTTAGAGATTTAGGAGTGGTTATTTGGGGCACTATGAGATTAAGGAATCACTCTTCAGTATTTAGTTCATATTCTTAAGAGACTGGTGTGCACAGAATCTTAATGTAGATGTAATGGGAGTAATCATTATCAACACAGCTCTTCCTTAGCTGAATTTCCTGAAATAGTGATCTGGGGAAGGGTTTTCGGAGTGAGAATGAGCATGACAGCCCTGCTGATTGTCCACATGGTGGACCCTCCAATGGGTCTAATCTTCATAACCAGCCTTTGTACCCAGGAAGTGGAAGGGAGAATGGCCCCCTAGTCTGTAGAGAGAGAATTCCAATAAGCAACAATGTCTCTCCTGAGTAGAAGACAGAGAAGCAATGTGCTGTTCTGAGTTATCATGGAATCAATAAGCCTCTGTGTTCTCCCCTTATAAGGATTGATTGGTAGTTATTATCCTAGTGAATCTAAATTTGTTAACAACAGTAATTCTATACGGTCTTGATACTATCTTGTAGTACCTCCTTGGAAGAAAAGCTCCTTGGAAGAAAGGCTATGACAAATCTAGACATCGTATTAAAAAACAGAGACATTACTTTGTCAACAGAGGTCCGTTTAGTCAAAGCTATGGTTTTTCCAGTAGTCATGTATGGATGTGAGAGTTGACCATAAAGACAGCTGAGCGCTGAAGAATTTATACTTTTGAAATGTGGTGTTGGAGAAGACTCTTGAGAGTCCCTTGGACTGCAAGGAGATCCAACCAGTCCATCCTAAAGGAGATCAGTCCTGAATATTCATTGGAAGGGCTGATACTGAAGCTGAAATTCCAATACTTTTGCCACCTGATCCAAGAACTGACTCACTGGAAAAGACCTTGATGCTGGGAAACATTGAAGGTAGGAGAAGAAGGGGACGACAGAGGATGAGATGGTTGGATGGCATCACTGACTCCACAGACATGAGTTTGAGCAAGCTCCAGGAATTGGAGATGGACAGGGAAGCCTGTCATGCTGCAGTCCATGGGGTTGCAAAGAGTCGGCCATGACTGAACGACTGAACTGAACTGACTATCTTGTAGGCATAAACCTGTATGATTTCTGATCAACCATCTCTCACCAAAAAGCAAGATGACCTTGAAATCCACAGCAAGAATTGTACATGCAAATTACAGTGAAATAATTGAGCAGTTAACTTGGTTGGAAAACATTTTACCCACAAAACAAATTTTATAAGTCAATCAACTTTATTAAATTGAGAATAAACAGCTAATAAGAGAGCACTGATTTCAACAAGCTCACACTGTTGTAGAGTACACTTATCATCACCTATTACTCCTTAATAAGTAGAGCAGTGAAAGTATCACTATAAATTAGCTTCAAAGTCCTTAGGAGGTTTCAATGGGAGAGGGGAAGGAGACCGTAAAAAGAACAGAAAGGATGAAGTACAAATGAGGGCAAGCCTTGCCAGCAATTCCACTGTTAAGACAAAAGTACAAAGAACCTTGAAGAGGAAAGAAAGGAGTAGTGGGCCATTAAAATCAGAGCAGCAAATTCTGATAAAGTAAAGCAGTGGCAGGTAAATAAAAGGTGGGTTGAAGATATGTAATTAGAAACAATCATGAGTTTCAATTAATAACATGGCAATTAACCTCAAAAGAGTTTTATTAGTTAAAATAAATTATTTCTTTTCTTCACATAGGGGTTCAAAATACATTATTAATGCTCTCTCTCTCTCTCTCTTTTTTTAGGCTCCTTGGTAGATGTTTTCCCATTATTCCAACTACCAGTTGCATTTGCAATTCCATTT